AGGACAAGGAGCTCCAATCAAGCCTGGTGGCCGACTTGGATTGTCAGCTGTATGCTTTGATAGTGTGAAGAGAGGAACATCCAGAGGTACCTTCTAGCAACTGGTCTTCACTAAGTCCATGGCAGTCTAGAGTGGTGCGAAGCCAACCACTTGGCCAGGAAATCACTGTCACCAACTTCGTGGAGAAGCATTCCAAGGCACGCCTGCATGGGTAGATTCGGGTAATGATTTGGGTTTATCACAAAAATAATACATATCATATAATATATCTATATATAATACAATGAGTGTATATATATTTATTATATAATGCAAGAAATGTTCAATCCTACCATGTCAGTCAGTTCGCCGTAGTGACATGACGGTGCAGCTGCGGTTCCAGCTCTGCGGTTCCAGCTGCCGTGGCCTGACAGGATGTGGTCTCCGCTCGTCATGACGTGTTGGAGCTGCGAGAAGAACTTCAAGAGGCGCAGAGGGAGTTTGCGGCTGGATCAAGAGCGCCCAAAAGGATCTCCCTCTTAGACTCCTTACCTTTGGGGAGATGATTTGCAGAGAACCTATATTTTATACCATAGTGTATACCTCAGTATTGGGTCAATCGATTGAACCAGCTGCGATCTCCACTGTGGCATGAAGCGTTTGGATGTCAGCACTTGCGGACCTTTTAGCGCCAGGCGCTTCGTAACAAGCGCTTTGATCCGCTTTCCGCAGCTTGGCGCCTTTTAGCGATTGGCCCTTCGGAGCATCACCAGGGTTTATCGACGTGTGGGCAGCGCCTAGCTGCTAAAGCCTCAAGTTCATGGAGTGGGCACTTTTGGTCATGTTGGCAGCCCCAAACTTCCTCGAAGCGTGCGTGCTAAATCATCATAAATCATCATAAGTCATCATAAATCGTCATAAATCATCATGTGTGTGTGTATCTATTTGAATATGTTTTTGTCTGTCTATCTACCTACCTACCTAGCTTCTGGCTTCTTCACCTTTGGTCACTTCAGTTTCTTGTGAGCCCGGGTTCCGGGTCACTGTCAAGGCCGATGAGCTGCAACGCCTCGTGGATGGGCAGAGCAAGTTATGGGCTACGCTTGATCAGGCGGGGGTCGCTCTCCAGGTCGGTTCTCTCCGCTCTTCACTGAAGCAGCTGAAGCTGACCTGCACCGGCTGCGGTCCCGTTCACTGCCCACTGCACTGACCAGCTCCTAAGAGCTGCACTGCTTGTTGCTAATGGCAATGGCCTCCAACCTACTAGCGTTGCTATGCGTGCTTGTGATTTTCATGTGTCTTTCTTGGCTTGCGAAGTGTGGGCAGCACGCCAACCCTTTCCTTTCCCATTGTTTGTCCACACGGAGCCCAGCCCCAGAGTACAGGTGCGCCATGATCTTGGTGAACAGCTCCAGCAGAAGGATCATTCTCACCGAAGATCCTTGGGTGGAGGCGGGGGGACTGCTGGTTGACACGTGGACATGACTTGGACATGAGAACTTGCAGAAACGCCGAACGTACAGACTGCGGTCACGTCGGATGTCTCTAGCAATTGCATGCAATTGCTACAACTCCCTAAAAATGGCTACAACTCCCTAAGAATATGTAGCAATTAGCCAAATCTAACATCCCCAAAGTCCGGAGATCGTGGATAGATCAACGCAGACACTGCCACTAGATGCCACTAGTCGATCTTGGGCGGGGCCCAGTTGGCTGCGCTTGGCGCTGGCGACGGTCCGTCTCAGGCACTGCGCCATCGCTCGGCAGGTACCCAGTACGCTCGAGCACTCCTCCGTTGCAAAGGTAGCTTCCACAGAAAAAAAATCACGTGGAGTGCCGCATAGTGCAGCTACACTTGGAGGGAAGAGTCTCTTCCACCGCGTCGATTCTGTGGATCAATTTGTCTGAACAAATTGGCTGTCGACCAGGCTCACGGCATCTCATGGCATTCATCCTCACCAGTTGACCTGGGACCTGGGATGGGACACTCAGCGGCTTGGCAGATGTGGCTTGCCGCCATGTGGCCATGACCGATATAAAAATTTATAAGGGAGATCGAAAAGGGCGGATTCGTGCCCAACTCTTGGGGACTTTGCTGATGTTGTTGCTTCTGAATGGCTTCCAGGCACGTTCGCACGAGGGCCCAGTCGCCTTCGTCCTGATCCCAAGTCGGCACCGTGGTTGGAAGAACGTCGGCCCAGTCGGCCCGGTCGGCAAGGGCATCACCTCACGGAGGACAATCCGAAACGGTTCAACGACCAAAGACACCTGGCCGTCCTCACTCGATGTTTGCTCCAAAATGGAAGCCGAAGCCGTGTGCTTCAGCCTTTGGAATTCCACCAATTCCACCAACCACTCATTGGCCTTTGTCGCATCATCGTTGAGGCCATGGCTTGTTGCAATGGCGGAAACGGATATCATCATAAGCGATGCCTGCTGTCCCTTTGAACGAAACATCATGGAGCTTCTCTGGACACATCAAGTCATCGCTCCTAAAAGCAGCCAGGTGGGCTACATCGCACCGCCACCGCACCAGGGATTCCACACGCTGCCATCGGCCGCATCAGGGGTTCCCGGGATCCGATCCGTCCCGATCGCAGCACGCTGCCGGTTGACACGTAAGAGCAAGAACTCCAAATCTCACAGCGGCCACGAAAATCAAGACATATATATATATAGAGAGAGAGAGTTATATATATATATTGTAGTATAAATATATATATATCCTCTACTGACTATACTAGCTGATCCCATTCACCCTTCGTACAGTCCTTTAGGGTGTGTCTTCTACCGGCGTGTCACAACACAGCACACGTCGCGTCGCGGGCCAGGACTCAGCTCCTTGGACATTGAGGAGCTCCGAACGCAGCTGGTTTCAGAGCGCTTGGCGCGGGAGCAGGGGGACGACCGATGCATGGAAAACATCAGAGACCTGGTCACGGAGGAGCGCGCAGCGCGAACGATGGGAACGGCGCTGCCGTTTTTGCTGGCCAATTTGTTTGGGGATGGCTTCATATGGTGTCCATCCCAGCAGAGGTGAGAGTTTGTATCAAGATGTATCACGATTTGTACATGCAACATAATTACTTGACTGGGCACCTGTTCCTTTGCTACATGCATGTTGGTCCAGCGCTGCATCCTCCAGGAGGAGCAGAAACGTAGCCGCGAATTGCAAGCTTTGGAACGACGCTTGAGCAACACCGAGGCCGGCCAAATTGCGGAGTTCAGAGCCGCCAAAGTGACACAAAGGGTGCCAAATATCCTAAAGACTAATAGTAGTGTCCCCGCAGAGCACTTCCCAAAGAGTTCGAAGTGTAGAGCGAGAGGAGGCTGCCAAAGCTCCAAGTTGTGCCGCCCAGGACCGACACAACGACTCCAAGTCCTTTTTCGTTCCGTCCTCAGAACTTCGGCTGAAACCTTTGGAGAGCCAATGTCGTTGATGGACGCCATGAGGTGGAGGCCATCGCTAGTAGGCTGGAGGCCATCGCTACTCGTAGTAGGTTGGAGGCCGTCGCTATTAGGTTGCTTAGTGGACGAGAGCCCCTTCTGTTTGCCGATCCAGGCCGGAGATCGACCAGCCACCACATCTGCGTGCCCTCAGTCAGGCCATGAGGGCACGTTGAAGCACTGGTTGGTCAACTTGCCCACGGTTTGTCTATAAGTGTTTGATGCTTGTAGGGGCATACCTTATGAGAAGACAGGTTTCAAAAACCAGCAGGGGACGAACCTCATGATCCCAGCGCCACAAAACAAAGAAGGACTGAGGACTTTCCACAGGCTGGAGTTATGCACACTGTTGTTGTTTTTCGGGATGGCAGGTGCTCCTCGGACCATTCTACAATCTTCGCCATGGCCAAAGCCACTTGGAACAGTATGGAAGGGCTCCAATTGCTGGTCATTGCAAGCGTGACTTCTTTATGGAAGAAATGTTTATCTTGGTTGTTGAAGAGACGCTACTAGGAGCAAGGACGCTACTAGGGGCTCCTGGCCGTACTACTAGGAGCAAACGGCTCCTGGCATCGCTACTAGGAACAAGAAGCTACTAGCACCTCCTGGCATCGCTACTAGGTGATCATATTTCATTTGCGGAGCACCCTCCATGTCCTTATGGATGCGATGCATCGATATGCGTGAAGTAGAGATCGACAGATGACATCCAATGGTGTGGAGAGTGAGAGAGTTGTGTAAGTGGAGTGAAGTGAGAGAGAGAGAGAGGGCGAGACTCCGAGAGAAGAGAGAGAGAGAGAGGGAGGGAGGGAGGGAGCGATAGGGAGCGAGCGAGGAGGTTCAGCTGATCCTTCAGTGGCAAAGCTTGCTGAGGCCACCGAGCTTTTCCGCGTGAGAGGAGTCGGGCGCTCAGCCCGATCCTGGAAGGTTTCATAGTCCCACAGCTCGCCACAGCTCCATTTACCTTCCGTGGAATCAAACAGATTCTGCTGAAATCGAGCCGGCGCTCGTCAAAGTTTTGGAAGTGGATTTGCGGTATACAGCATTATACAGCATTCATATGTAGATCATTGTCTCTATTGGGCAGCTTGGGACAAAGATCCCACTGTTCATAGATGGATCTTTTTGTCTATTTGGCTCGTCTCGGGACACAAGCTCCCGCCGTTCTCGCCCTTCGGCTCAGCGAACACCAAGCAACCGGGCGCAAAACCCGCGAGAAGCGGCGCTGGAGCCGAGCCATCGGCGATGAGAATGGATGAAACCTTTAGGTTGGAGGCCATGGCTATTAAGTGGAGGCCATCCCTAGAAGGTTGGAGGCCATCCCTAGTAGGTTGGAGGTCATCGCTAGTAGGTTGGAGGCCATCCTAGTAGGTTGGAGTCCATCGCTGGTAGAATCTGTCCTTCGCGCCGCATATTTGTTTTCATCTTTGGGTGAGACAAATCAGTGTACAGCTATGACCCAGATGACCCTCCAAACCGATATCCACGGCTGATTTGGTCCACTTTGCCAGTGTTGAAAGCTATGTTCCGTTTGGAAAATCTGTGCAAAAGATCAAGGAACCATCCGCTGCCAGGCAAGCTTGTATAGTCCTCCGACGTTTGGATGGTGTGGCCACTGGGGCGGAGGTGGCGCAGGACACGGCCAAAGCCACTCCAAATTCCCTCTCCATTGAACTCCATTGGTTGAGCAGGTGTCGAAAAGTTGCCCTAATAGCGATGGCCTCGAACCTACTAGAGATGGCATCCAACCTAATAGCGACGGCATACAACCTAATAGCGATGGCCTCCAACCTACTAGCGATGGCCTCCAACCTAATAGCGATGGCCTCCAACCTACTAGCGATGGCCTCCAACCTAATAGCGATGGCCTCCAACCTAATAGCGATGGCTTCCAACCTAATAGGTTGGCCTCCAACCTACTAGCGACGGCCTCCAACCCTAATAGCTTGTATGCTTACAAGAAGGATGTATTTTCTCCATTGGAGTTGGCAATGGATTGAGATGGTCGGCATGAGTTCATGCTCCGAGCTTAGTGACATGGAGTGTTTGTACACGCGCTACATGTGCAACGCTGGTTGCTTCATTCGTTCAGTGATCCCATTGACCAGTGACTGAGTCATAGTTTGACCATTGACCAATGATTCATTGTTTCCAACTACCGGTGATAAGTCATTGTGCATGAGCTTGACAAGAAAAATATACAAACACGTTTTAAGGACACAGAGAATCCCAATGTTCCAGACCGCCGGCACTTGGTTGACCCTTGTGACCAGTGACCCCTTGTGACCGGTGACCCCGTCATAAACTATTCAGGTATAAGTTGCATGCGAGTTGATGACTCCATGATCATGGATAATGGTATATATACATAGATATAATGGGCTTGTATCCAGCAACCCGTCAAAAACACACAGACTGTACTGTGCGGTGGGTGTAATTGAACTTGAGGGGGAAGTACAGATCCAAGAAACTATGACTGACCTACGACACGGCAATGGCCGAAAAAGGGCCTTTCATGACTCCTCATCGGACTTTGCCTCTCGCGTGGCCCAGTCAGCAGTGCTGGGTTTTTCCACGCGTGGCTGTTGATTGGAGTGCTTCTGGCACGTCAGTCACCCTTTGTAGACCCCTTTTCCATTGTTTACGTACGAACTGCCGGACAAAGTCCTATTCCGCAACTCTCCATTCTTCTGAAACTGTTCTTCCGCAACTGTTTGGTACTCTTCAGAAACTATTCTTCAGAAGCTATTTGGCGATCTTCAGAAACTATTCGCGATCTTCAGAAACTATTTGGCGATCTTCAGAAACTATTCGCGATCTTCAGAAACTATTTCGCGATCTTCAGAAACTATTTGGCGATGGAACCATTTCGCGATCTTCAGAAACTATTTCGCGATCTTCAGAAACTAGTTCGCGATCTTCAGAAAACTATTTTGCGATCTTCAGAAATTACTTTGCGATCTTCAGAAATTACTTTGCGATCTTCAGAAACTTATTTGCATGCTTGAGAAAGTATTCTTCGGAACTTTTACAATATTGTAACCAAATTGCATGTAGGAGCACTGGGTGGGGGGGGGGGGTGGGAGGGGGGGTGGGGGGGTGGGGCTATTGACGTACCTTGTGACGGCTACGGTATATAGTATATATATATTATACATGCCTATTTTACGATCTGCAGATGTTTTTTTTCGTGCAGGCTTGATGTTGCTCTTCGACTCTTCGTAGTTTCCGAACATTAGTTTCTGAAGAAAACCGTAGAGTGTCCGCAGAATAGTTTCCGAAGAAAACCGCGTAGTTTCCGAAGATTAGTTTCCGATCAAGACCGTAAAGTTTCCGAAGATCCCCTTTTAGTTTCCGAATACAACTTAGACCACTTCTCATCACTGTTCGGTCTTCCGCTCATTTCCGCTCCTGATCACTCGAATCGTCATTGGGTCTACGCATCAGGAGCAACTCCGCTCCTGCCTGAAGACCGCATTCGCCGCTCGAGACCATCGCGGATCTGGCGCCTTTTGCAGGGCCTTCCACGGAGAGCAAGATGGCTTGCCAGGCAAAGGGACTTCTCCGGAGCGGTGAGGCAAATTGGTCCCATTGAGGGTCGAACGGTCGTTGTTTTTGGCGCCTTATGGGGTCGAACCGTGTCTTCGAGTTTGACACACAAATGCTTGAGCTTCACCCTTCCCGTCAGCAGATTCATGTCCTGTTCTATTCCGCCTTTCTGCACTCGATTTTCAATCAAGGCCCGCTGAGGTACAAGTTTTGGCCCTGGTGTGATGTCTCGCATCGGCCAGTTGCTGGCAAAACTTGTCACTTCATCAGTGCGTTTCGGCATGATCAGGAAGCTCAACACCTTCGCACTCCGTATCATACAAACTTGCTGCTTCCTCTGTCCTGCACCTTTTGTTGAAACAACAAAATCTTTGCAAACCAACTTTGCGGAGCTTGCTCAATGTCAGAATGAACAATTGAGAGCACTCACTCATCCATAAACGCATTTCTTGTTTGTCTAGTGTTCTAGCTTTCACACCACCTGACCTGTCTATGGCTTCTTTGTAGATACACTCATCCTGCTCCGACCCTGGTTTGCCTGGAGATCAATTCTGGCCTCTCTTTCATGAATCCAGAAAAGTACCAGTATCGTCATCCCCACTCTACTAGACTAGAGATAGAGCTCGACATGTGAATCCCAGACTGATGCACTGTGGCGAATCTTGGGAAAACTTTCATCGCCAGATTAGCAAGCTCCAAGTGTGTCCAAACAGAGTCTTCTCCTGCAACTCGGGTTCCAAAGCAAACCGACATGAGTGTGTCGTCAACGACCGTCCCAAGTCCCCCCAACGATGGAAGCAGAATCAGAAGCAGAAGTATCATGCTGAAGTTTGCTACTAGTAAGAAAGGGCATCGCTACAAGAAGCAAGCAGCAAGAAGCTACTACGTTGTAGACCTAGTAGCTCCTGGCATTACTACTAGTAGCTAGAAGCTACTAGTAACAAAGCAGAAGCAGAAGCAGTTTTGTGACAGTCCGGGCTGAAAGAGTTGTTCGCCGCATATGGGATATCGCAGCTCTCGTTTGTGACAATAAAGTTCCTGTCAAGATAGCGTGACAAGAAGGGAAATTTTGCCCTCACAATCACAAGGATTGAAGGTGATGAATGCTGTTAGGTAGGCATGGGGAGATGGAGTAAGGCCTGTTGAGTGTCCAAAGGGTTTGACCACGGCTTCATTGGTCAAGCGTCTGCCCTGGGCACTCGAGAAGCTACAAGCTGGGGAGCAAAGCTGGTACCTGGATTGAAAATTGATGTGTTCCTCACGTGACAAGTACGAATTTGGACAAAGTGAGGACGCGAGAGTAAACGGTGCTCATGAGTATCACTTTGATGACAATAGGGACAGGTACCACCATCAAGGAAATAGGCGGCCCATTTGGCTGCTGGTAACCTCCAACCAAATTCAGGCGAACGTCTCGACGCGAAGGGCGAATGGTGAATGATGGAATCTGCAGAATCCCATGCAAAACGAAGAGAGCAACGCATATTTGTGGCCAACTTCTTGGAGATATTTGGACCACGCAAAAAAAAAAGAGTATCCGGGTAGTTATACTACAAGCTGACGCAAAGAATTATGGAAGGATCCTGAATGGAAAGTGCAATTATGTTCCAATGAACAGCCAACCACGGACTGGTATATGAAGCGGCTGAAGCGGCTGAAGCGGAGGAGAAGGGTCATACCGATGACCATTCCATACCGAAACCGTGGCCGGCCAGCGAGCTGGCCTTATCGCAGAGGATAAGACGGAGTTGTTTGTAATTCCCAGACACGACGGGTCTGGGACTGCCAAGGACTGCCGATCAGGCCAGGGGTGGTTTTGGGTGCCAACGGGGCGGCACATATGGCAGTCCCATGGAGTTCTTGGTAGATTGCAATATGTTTCAAATGCCGCTTCAATTAGATCCTTGCTTGGTCCAATGAACGCACGGTTGGTGTAGTTCATCGCAAGCACGGTTGGTCTTCAGCATGAAGCGAGATCTCCACATGAACCGTCTCCACGTCTTGGTGGTTTCTGTCCATCGGCCCACGACTTCGACTTCGCCTAACCTGTGGAAGTTCGGCGAATTGTGGAACCTATGGAGTTTGATGATTTCCATCGTAGTTGCGGTGACAATAAGTAGTTGCGAGGGCTATGGCGGCGATGGCCGCATCCGGCCGTCCGCCGGAATGGGACGCCGGTACCAGAAATGGAATCGGAGAACCAGAACCCGAGTGAGCTTTGGCAACAAGATCAACCCGCCAAGTGGTTGATTGTTCATATGTGCCAATTCAATGCGTTGATGATAGGCAAAAATAATCTTGCCAGCATACCCCGACGGAAGATGTTTAGACCGGTGAAGAGAGAGAGAGAGAGAGCGGTGTTGAGACTCCAATAATCGTCCGTACGCCAGCGGAAAAAGTCCCGTCGTCTGCGGGGAAGGGTTTGTAGTTGAAGGATTGATCTGCATGCATCGAAACTGCGTGGGTCAAACCTCGAAACTGCTCGGTGCCTGGAGTTCAGAAATGGAATCGGATGCGGCAAGGCAAACGAAAGCTTTGAGTCGGTTTGAGTTCGTGAGTTCGTGAGGATGATGTGTGGTCGCCCACAGAAGATGAGGGTTGGCAAAATCGATGTGAACTGGAGGAGTATGGGTTAAAGGTGGTTGCAGGCGTTGCAGGCCAGGAGTCTTCCGTTTCTTGATCTGGCGCAGGGTCGAGTAACGGACCACAAATGAACAGACTCCTGGTGCGCTGTGGAAGTGTCGTCAGCGGATTGTGAGACAGTCGCTTGAGATGGTAGGACTCCGCCTGCGGCTTTGGGTCAAAACCCTGCAAAGCTCGTCAGACCATGGAGCGGTCAACCAGTCGGTCTTCCGGTTCAGCGACCCGAAGGGTCGAGTCTGCCAGTCTGGAGACTTCTGTGTTCATCGAGACGGAGGGCACAGCGACCAAACATGTCGTTCTGATCATCCGTGCCGAAAACCACGGAGATCAGGTTGAAACCCACGGAGGGCTGACCCGACACCAATTGATGTTATATGATGTTATGGCTTGATTGATCTACCAGAACGTCCAAAGTCGCACTGGATGAGATGAGTATGAGATGTCCTCACATTCGGAAGAGATAGCCTTCTGGTTTGCGGCACGAATCCGTTTCTTGGAGCTCCCTGTAGCTATTCGGTCGGAGAGACTCCGGTGAAGCTACGACCAGGGTCGACCGCGACAGCCCGTGGGACCTCCGAAAAACGACCAGGCGTGCTGGTCGATCGCTTTGGAAGCTCTGCTGTGGTGACCTTCCAGCTATTGGGCTCTGCGACCATGGAGCTCATCGTTCAGGATCATTGGGCTTTTGGGGAGGGGAGGGTCCAGTGGGTTCAGATCTAGGACTGGGAATTGTGAAAGCTTTAGAGGGGTGGAGGTTCCAACCGATATGAATTTGCGACCCCCCATGATATACCTAGAGTGGTTGTGTGCGGTTGTACGTGGCATTGCCAATGCAAACACCACCATGTTGTTCATTGGCGGACTTTGGTTGCACACTACATGCTCAAAACTACAAGTTAATATGCAAAAAGTTGCCGAGGCCTTTTTGTGCTTGTCTACATGTGATCCACACAAAGCTCTTTAAAACATCCTGTTGTTTTGTTTGTTTGACAATGTAGTGACGACAAAACCGACAAAACCCAACAAAAATACATTCAACCCCACCCCAAGAGAAAAAGGAAACTCCATTCTGGGGCTCCTGAGTGGACACCTGGTCCTTCTCCTCAAATCCACCTCAGGACGCCTGGAAAAGGGTGTTCTTGTTGTTGGTTGTTAAGTACAAATTAAGGAAGACTATTCCAACTTGTGTTTGCAAAAGAGTGTAACTGAGATCTTCATTGGAAGCAAAATGGGAACCTGGTCTCAATATTAGTTGATTCTAGCATGGACGTTAAAGGATTTTTAGTTGGATACCGTTGGATACCTACTAAAGATTTTGGTGTGCATTAAAGTTTGATGCTGAAAGGAAGTTGATTTAGCAGCCCATTAAATAGCAATACGAGTATTGATTTTAGAAAAAGGTCCACAAGGAACTAAAATAGGTACTGCAACCAAATAGAAGCCAATATATGGGCTTAATTTTTACACGTTTTCAGGTCGAAACAAATTGGAGACAAATAATTGAAGTGATTGCAAAAGGGATCGCACACCGAATTGGAAAAGAACTTGTGGAAGGGGGGTGCATCTTTTTTGGAAAGACGTTCAACGATATTCTAATTCGGCACCACTTGAGAAAATCTATGTGTGCCTTGATCGTAAAACGAGGTCTAAAATGGTTTAATTGCAAACAATCCTAGTCAAATTGAACTGCTTAAAGAAGGATGTTCAATCTAATCGGAGAAGGTTTCAAAAACGGCGTGTTTACGTAAGAATCCACTGCCGCATAAAATCTCTTGCATTTCAATACCTCAGCAAACCTGCAAATATGCAGACTGGCATTGGCATGAACCAAGACCTTCAGAAGAAAACCAATGGGACGGCAAACCAGATTGACAAAGCAAGTTCTCAATATGAAACTGGAAAGCAAATGATGCAAAAGAGCTAAGGAAGAGGAAAGGGTAGATCATGTGGGGGTGAGTAGGGTAGATCATCTACATACACATACAACAACACATGTATCTAATGTATATATATATATACACATAAGACAGTTTTACAGGTATGATACGCATTTTCACCTACAGTATCTATCCTTATCCGTGTTTGTCGTGGGTGTTTGGCACTCGTCTCTGGACTTCGTACCACGGAGTCCTGCCACGGAGGAGGAGCTGACGCGGTGGATCGGCAAGCTGCAACAGCTGCCACTCGAACTGCAACAGCTGACGGCAGAGAGACCGGATGGACAGGTGAGAGATCGGCCGGGACAGGAGCCCTGATGTGGAGACCGGATCTTGAGGTGAAATGATTCCTGGTAATCCAGTGTTTCTCTTCTTTGGGCGTGCACCAGCACTAGCGAGGGTTGGAGGTAGTGAACTCAGCGATATCACTACTGCCTTGTGAGCGCTTTGTTCACTTGGAAAGTCAGAACTTGTCGGCCTAAATAGAATTCCTAGCACGGGTCTGGGTAACTTAAGCAATGAGCTAGCAAGGCAACACCTTTGAGTGTCGCCTTGCCGAGCGTCTTCGAAAGAGTGAGCTCAGGACTGTTCATCACATGACCGCAAAGAAGGAGAAGTGGGCACAGGAAGGCAAGAAGTTGCCAGAGTGTGCTTAAGCTATGCTACAACAGTTTAGGCAGAAATCCTTGGTACAGCTTGTTTGCAATAAGAGTCTTTTGCAAGATGCACCCAAACCCAAGTGAACAATAAGTTTGAAGTTGTTGGGCATTGGTGATTTTATGTTGTTTTCTTCATACTTAGCATGCAACAGCTAGAGTGTGTTTGAGACACTTGTTGGCCCTTGCGATGGACCGCATTATTCACACGTTTCCACAGTACTCGGCAGAAATCGTGGTTCCACCTCTGAAAGAACTGGGCTTGTATACTAATAGGGGGACCTCCCTGGCCCTGGCTGAGTAGATGGGTCTATTTTCCAAACCCGGAGGGGGGTCGTTGCCACGCGACCGCCGACCTCCCTTTGGAGTTTCACCAACCCCGGAGTTCACCAGGCTCGGAGTTCACCACCAACATCACCCGAGGGACCAGCTCGCGAGTGTGGCTCCCCGGTGTTGGACGGCGAAGAGGGGAGGCGTGTGAACATATACTGATGGGCATGTGTGTATCTAGGGTGTAAGTGTTTACCTAATTATCGTCATCCACTGCTACCCAATGTGTACCGTTTGGCTCAGTTCACGAAATCTGGCCCGGTTCATTTTCCGGTCTTGGATGACTGACTCGCGCCAGTTCATCTTCCACCGGTCGTGGAAAAGAATACAAGGCGTGTCACATATGTCCAGTCCTGCTCTGAAGGAATGGGAATGAGACATTGAGACGGTAGCCCAGATGTCTCCAGCCACTGGCGACTTGTTCCACCATAATTGGTTGTTTTCCATTTGATTCCCATGCAAATAGATGATGAAGACTTGTTCTTGGGCCCTTGTTCATGAATTGGTGCTTCAAGCTCTTTGACTGACTCCGAATGTGTTTGCTCTCTCAGCCAGCAGAACATTGCGGCCACGGAGTTTTGAATCATGGTTAATGGACTTAGGCATATGGGCCCCAGGGTGCTCATTGTTGGCCCTCTTGGGAATCAGAGCTTCTTACTTTCCGACTGGAGTTCTGCTTTCGTCCTCGCCACCATCTCCGCTATCCATGAAGGGTACACATTGTTGATGGGAGCATAGTCTCAACTGCACTGGAACTGCAAAAGCAACAGAAACCACTCTGAAGACTCGACAGGAATTCCACGGCCTTCAACATGAGTTTCAAGTCCTTTCTTGACTGAATGAGCTGAAATGTAAGGTCTGCGTGGAGGAAGCAAACGCGCGCTTTGACATTGACGTCTTGCAGGGGGTCATACCAGGCAGGAGTCATAGACGACCAGAGCAGGACGAATTCCGACCTTTTTGCTGTCCCTCCTGGTACCGTCTTAGCGCCGCCTTAGGCGCTCTCGAACCATTCACAGCCATACCTAGACCTAGAGATCACCCAGCTGGAAGACCCGGGAGACTTCTCCGGTGCTGCTCTTCTTCCAGTTTTATCATGTTTTCTCCGGTCATCCCGAGTCATCCCGGTCCGTGAAGGATGGACAGGCTGTAGCTAGTAGCCTTCTTCAAGTCTGAGTGGAGTACAAACCCTTTGCACATAGTGCTCAGAAATCCAGATTGGCACCACTGGCTTGTTCCACCGACATGGTGGGTTATGAACCAGTGTCGCACGTACAAGTCAATGTTGAAGCTTAGCTGCTGGAGAACATGTCTTCTGCCAATCGCCAAGAAGTGCGTGTAGCGATGTGTAGTGATTTATGACCTCGTGTGCCTGCAGCTTCCATGTGCAGAAGGATTGGTTTGCTTTACTGAATGAACCGGGTACACCTCGATTCTAGTGATGTGAGGTCAGTGGAACTATAGCCTGGAAGCCTTGCGTGCACCTCTGGCACAGCGTTTAGGAAGCTCAGGCAAGGCAGCACCGAGCACCGACCGCTTGACAAAAGGTCAGGGTGGTGTTTTCAAGAAGGTGTACAAACTGTTTGGGCAGGCAGGCATAGGAAACATGGACAGCAGAGCTGGAATAGAAACACCTGAGTTTGAGGTTGACCTTCTCCGAGGCTGTCTCATGGTTGTCCGTATTCATACAGTGTATAATTTCAAGGCAAACTGTTTTTGGAGAGTTGAAACAAATGATGCCCCCCAGGTCATCGAGATTGGCTACACCCTTCCAGGTCAGTTCTGAGGTCAGTTTCTCCCCGACAAGGGGGAATGACTTAGACGTTCAACTGAAACCGAACAAAGTTCAGGTTCAGGGAGCTGAGGACAAGTCTGCCAAGCTTTATCCATGTTGATACCCAATGCACCGATGAGGCACCGTGCTGGATGCGTGGGCGCAATGTGGTCAGTGGGGCCTCCGTTGTGCACAGAGTGGTGCTGCAGACGTCGTGCTCTTGGAGGAGCAACTGGGCCTGGCCAAGCTCTGCCGAGAGAACGCCGCAAAGAACGGTGCCTGGTCCGTGCGCGCAACGATCGCCGCTGGGGCGACCGGGCGATCCAACGATGGCTCCGCATGCGACCGTGGCTCCAGGGATCCCCCCAGAACGCTCCGAAGTGGCAAGACATGTTTTAGAAATGGCGCGAAGCAACACACACACACACATATGGGCCTCGTTTCTTCTTCTCGTTTTGTTTGGTTTCGGTTTCGGTGTTCTTCACTTCACGGCCTCTTTCCAAGCCTTGCCGGTTTGTCCGGGCGCGGGGTGGGTCGCAGGTGTCGAGGAGAAGGTCACGGTGCTTCATCGGAGCGACGTTCATGGAGAGCTTCAGAACATGGTCGCCTGGCCGCAACCGACGGACCGACGCCAAAGTGCGTTCAGAACGGTGCCGGCGTTGTCGGGGGGGGGGGGGGGGGGGTCGCCGAAGGAGTGATCACAGGGAAGCAAAACCATGGTGGCATGGAGTAGACATGGTGGCCTAAAGTCATCCTGGACTAGATCGAATCTGATAGAATATGGGAAAAGGAAAACACACACATGGGAATCTGGACATATTTTTGCCTTAATTCACATTCTATCCACTCCAGGATGATTATATTAGTAGTTTGATGGCGAACAGAGGGAACTAATTATATAAGTGCCCGACCCCTATTGCGCCGTGGCGCCAAATGAACATGGTCTCCGGCGTTCGCCGTGATGCGCCGTGCACATGTTCAAAGATATGTGCCTTGAAGTGCTATTTTTTTGAAAATCCCAACACTATCTTCCCTTTTGGTTTTTTGGGATGGCAAGTACTGGTACAGTCATTCTGTTCATCTTCTCCTTCAGCGAGTTTGCTGAGTGTGTTTTGCAAAGCTCATTCGACAATTCTCGTGGCGTGCATGGTCCCAGGAATCTTCTCCACATGACATGTACTGCATCACTAACTTGGGGACCTTTGGATGTTCTTTGATTCCATGACCATGACCAATTCTTCTAGGAAATGATGTGGGAATAAAATTATTGAGGCTCAGCCATCCCACCCCACCTGATCCCACCTCAAAGTCAGTCGAACAGTGTCGCGTAGCGTAGAAGAGTATCTACTGTATGGGTGTGCACTTAGAAAGCATGCAAGAAAAGATGGTGAAAAGAGAAAAATACGTGCTTCACTACATGCAAAAAATACAAAATGAACATCGCTACAAAGCCTCACATCGTGGCAGGGGCCGTGCTCTAACTCTAACTACTTGAAGTGCCACTGCGATCTGCGCCAGATGGGAGACATGATGTCATGTGGTTCTCCAATTGGCTTCTTGAGGCAGAAAGTGGCATCCGCTTCGATTGTGTCTCCTTGAATGTTCGCGTCCGTGGCGAAGCTGCAGATGTCGTGGTGCTACATGAATCCAGTACCTTCCTGCTATTCCAACCGGGCGGAGCCACTACAACCTGCTTTACCATAGCAGAAAGAAAGATCTAGAAGTTGATCTTAGATTAGACTTTGGCGAGCCTGAGCAGGTACCTCCAAGTGGCATTTCTTTCTTCGCGTCAATTCGGTGGAGGTGCAATGCCTTTGACTGCACAGTCTTGTTTCCGTGTGGGCATTTCATTGTTGACAAATCAAAGAGTCTAGTGGATACTTGTAGCATTTCTTAGCTAATTGATGTCAGGTATGGTATGGCACGGGGAAATTCTCAGCAAAGCAGCTCAAACCAACGAGGTTATGTTCTCCATGCCATGCGCTCAAATCGACCTCGCCGGGTCTCGCAGGAGGTGCTTCCACCCGAATGTGTTTTTCCTGGGGACCCAAAACGCCCCCCCATGCCAGAGCGAGGAAAACCAGGGGTGGGTCAGGGTGAAAACGTGCCCCAGGTTTTGAACGCTACCTGAAACACCAGCGTGGGCAATTCGGGCGCTGGTACAAGCCCAGCCTAAAGGGCTATGAGCGTGCGATCGCGCTGGGAGACCCTTGGCTGAAAGGTGAGAGAAGTTTCCGGTGGGGGCGACTTGGTTCATGGAAGTTCGACCAATCGCACCGTGATGTTTCTTTGTGGTGAAGAGAGAACTCTTTTTGCGTGGATGTTGGTTGAGTTCGGAAGTAACTCAACGTTTAGCCTCACGTTTCGCCGTTAAGCCTCGAAACCAATGCATCTGGAGTTGTACGACACATTCATGGAGACAGCAAAAAGAAGTTCCCGAGGCACGAGTGACCTCCAGGAACGGCTACCTGGTGGTTTCCTTCCTCCTACCTCTCACGACGGAGTACTGGGCCTTGTGTCTTGTTCAAGGCGTGGAGTACTCACCCGCGATCCGCAGGGTGAGTGGAACGCCTTCTTCAAATACCCGGACTGTTGATTTTCACCCATGCGACAAAAGCATGCCCCAACAGACCAACTCTCAAAGTCGTTGATCCAAGCTGCTCAGCCTGCAGCTTGCAGGGAGGGCTTGTGGCATTTTGCAGCTCAAAGTGTCCTCAACTAGTTATTGATGATAGATATTGATAGATATATATATATGTGTGTGTGTGTGTTTGTTTTCAGTTTTGGAACTTCAGGATACAATCCAACCCATGTTTGCTTGTGATGCTGATACAAGAAGGCTATGGAAAGATCATGTTGACTCGAAAGATCTCGAAAGTCAGAACCAAAGATCTTCAGGAGAGGGAAAGGACAGCAGGGGAGTTTTGTCAATCCCCATGCATTCCTATTGAAAATCCCAATCACTAGCACTGGCCTCCCAACAACTCAGTGGTACCTGAGGTAAAGCTCACGTCAACCTGGGAGATTAACTTGTTACTAGTAGTTTCTTCCTAGTGCCTTCAACCTAGAAGCGATGGCCTCCAACCGTGCGTCGCTTCGATCTGATCGCGAGTCCGACCGCCCTTAGCTGACCGGCCAGATGCATTGCAGAAGGCATCAAGGGCCGGCAGCATCATTTATTGCTCCAGCAACGCCAGCGAGCTCCTTGGCGAGAAATGGAGAAGGGACCCCTGCGCCGGCACATGTATGGTTTCTGGGGTTCGGTGTGAAATGAGATTTCTTAGTTGGGTAGTTGGATGTGATTTGTCTCCAAAAAAACTTGGGATGATGGTTTGGATTTCTTTACAAAATTATTCATGGCACTGGAAACCACTTAGATGCTCTTAGATTGGCACCCCATGGTGAGAAACAATTGTTCACCACGCTCGACCGCATGACCGGACCTCCGAGTCGGGCGGTGTCGTCACTGCATGGGCTGAGGGACACTGCAGTTGCTTCATCTACGATGGATGAGTATTGGAGTCATGTTCTGATCGCAGTCCATTTGGCGTGAGACGACCAAAACAGGGCATGAGTGGGTTCGACCAGTGCTCGAAGGAGCTGAAGCAGAACGGGTCGCGATGCACCCGTGCGTCAGTTGGACTATCGTTTGCGAGGGGTATGGCCCACAGGTATGGGCATCACATGTTGACATCCGAAAAAGACCTCAGCGAACAACTTGTTTATGCGACCACCATGTATACATGACTCGTGAGGCGATTCTGGGGAGAGAGAGAAGATGATGATAGCTCAGATCCCCAGATAACCACAAGTCTCTGTGTTGGTGTCTCCAAGTTGATTTTGGATAAAGAGTCTTTGGGGTTGAGCAAGGCTTGAGATAACCCCCCCAGCTGTGGTAGCAGAAATCGTTCTCCAAAGCCTCTGGCCGTGGCTTTCTTTTTGCGCGGTCCAGTGGACCGTTTTGATCCAATGTGGAGCGTTTTGGATCAAGCAAGAGATCTCTGTTCAGAGGATGACCAGCATGACTAGAGGATACCAGAGACGCTAATTGTTGCTGGAAACCCTCCAAATCCTTTAAAGCAACACCGCCATTTGATGAGAGATGTTGACATCATCATAGGCCAGGTTTCTTTTTTCAGCACGGCAACGAACTGTAGTGTTGGGAGATGTTGGGAGTACAAATTGCCATACCCAAAGATCCCGACGTTGGCCGCCGGCCGCGGGTGTCGGAGCCGCCATGCTTTGTACTCGGTACTCGTCGAGCTGCCTTCTTCGGCTTCACAGGTCGCACAGGTCAGCGACCTTCTGGATGGGTGTTCGGGCTTACTTAAAGCAGTATGCTGTAAGAGCGCGACGCCGTCGAGGCAAGCTCCGAAAAAAGACGCCTCACAGCTAGGTCAAGCAGTGGACAGTCGACTGTTTTTTTCCATGGTGAACTGCTGGGTCCGCTCGAAATCTGGAGAAAGCATTGGTTGCTGGACCTTTTGCATCTTGCACCAGCGAAGTGATGGCTCGGACGCAGGCGGCCGAGCCATCGGCCAGCCTGGGGACGGGCTGCGGCAAGAAGCGGCTCGGAGGGAGTTGGAGGAGTACACCACGGCTTCAAAGTGACCGGCCAATTTGTTTCCAGAATTTGAAGTGACCTCTTTTCTGGGCCCTAAAGTGTGACCTGAAAATACCTGAGATCAAAGGTCACTTTGGAAGAACCAGGAAATTACATATCATTGACATGCTTCGATGGATCGATTGAGTCTGAGACTGGCCCCCTTCGGCTTGGAGCTTTGGACTGGTGGTTTGGTGCTCTGGATGAGCAAGCTGGGAATCTCAACGAGAAACCACCACTGCCCACAACATCTGAGAAGAGCCTAGGGAATATGCTGGACTTGGATGGTTTCCCCAATGGAGTCATAGTGGATAGGTTTCAACCAAGATCCCAAAGGTTCATTCAATATGGAAGGGAGAAACCCAAGCTGATGGGAACGGAAGATTCAACTACGTATTCCGTGCATTATGTGGTGATTGGATGTGATTGGTGGCCACATGTCATGACATTGAGCGCATTGAGCGGATGCTTGAATCTTGAATTGAAGCAACACCAATTCCGAGTCACGAACGAGAAAGGGTCGGAAGGTGTGTTTCTTTTCGATTGTCTCCCACTGCCGACCCAGATGTGGGGATTCGCCGGGCCTTCACGACTTGGGGTTCCCCAGTAGCCTCCTTGCTCCGTTCGTAGCGATGCCAGGAGCACACATAAGTCACACAATTATGCCCTTCATGCTGTCCTTCTTTTCAAGACTCGATTTGGAAGTGTAGATCTAAGAGTTGTCTTGGAAAACGCCATTTCATGGCATTCAACAGTTCGATTCCCTCGAGTTGACCGTGATTTGCATGTATTTCGTGCTGAGGCTCCAGCAGCAACCCCTGGTGGAACGAGGAGACCACTTTTCTGAGAAGACAGCTGACTGCCAGACGGTGGCCAGGTCCACGCTGGCCCAGGGATGTTTTGGTTTGATTTACGTATGATATTGTTGATTGATGTTGATATAGTATAGGCAAGTGCAGATTCTGTGGGTATGTTTCCTGTGCTTGTTTCCTGCCCAGATATGCTGCTGAACTTTCAAAGTTTGCATGTCGCATTGGCTGTTAATGAAGCGAACGAGTCGTTGCCTCATGTAACATGGTTTGTAGTGTATCTTGCCAAACCCCAAACCTTTCGCAGCATCAAAAGCCTTTGGTGTCTTACACGTTGTCCAATGCTTGAAAGTTGGCTGCCCCAAGAAATAGCAAATGCTGTGTTGACAAATGAACATGAACATTACCAGACGTTCTAGATACGGCCAAGATCGAAGTCTTGTTGATACTATTGATATGCATGGTCAAAGCTCGTCAGCCAGAAAATGGACAGATTGCCAGCAGGGTCCCACCTCAGATGCAACTGCATTGACACACAAAGATTTTAACAGCAAGATTGCCCTTGCTCTCCCAGCTCCCAGCAACCATCACATCGACCATCAGATCACCCAGCTGAATCACGACAACTGCGACACCCCTGCAATGCCCCATTTCAGAGGGCATATGACCACAGCCTTGAAATGGAGCAACCTTGCCAATCTTCGACGCCTCACACCCATAAAAGATCCTACACTGTGGTCCCACAGTCAAGCTTGCAGATCACAGATGTTTCCACAGATGTGTCCTCCCTAGGAGCTTGAGAGGCGACAGAAGAGACCCTTGCGACCCTTGCAGCCCACGCAGGCGGTCAGCTGCTCCCGACCCAGAAGCGGTCTGTTTTGTTCCAAATCTGTGGGTCAAAACCGATGTCCGATACATGTGGCTGTGGGGTTATGAAAGCAGGATCTTGGAACTCACCTGTTAGGTTGAGCTCCTAGGGGTTGAGCTCCTGTTAGGATTGCACCTCAGTATTAGTAGTCCATTCTATTCATTTTCCCAACCAGGGTTCCCCGGCTTTGACCCACAGCCATGTTTCAAAGCTTCGAAACAGGGTGGGTGATGTTGGTCTGAGGTAGTGTAACTTCCAGGCGAAGAGATTCTCCTCCTTTCTTAATGCTGCAATGAATGCATGAAAATCATGGAACCAAAGAGAAGGCTGACTGAGAGGCTGAGATTGCTGGCAGATGGCCAACTGCAAGCAGCGACTGCTCACAGGCTCACAGACTCACAGACTGAGAACCGAGCACAATGGGAAGTAACTCTTTTGGGATCCTCAAATCGACCACGGGACTGTTTTCCACAACGTTTGACGAATGAATCCTCCCCACGACCAAGATCTGCCAGATGCGTTAGGGCCCACAGTGACCGGGCCGTGGATTCGGTTGGTCCCCAAACAAAGACCCGACCCAACCGCTACCGGTGGCGAGGCATCAGTCCATCTGTTGAAGCGGTGTACTGTATCGCCCGTGCCGCCTGGACATACCAGGACAGACCAATCCTTCACTACCAGAGCAGATTCATGCCATTTCATGCGTGCCATTTCATGCTGGAGGTGTGTGAAATGTGTGTGAAATTGGTCTGAAATTGGTCAGATCAATGACAGAGGGATCAAAAGAAAAAGAACACAAAAATCGAAAGGCCCCAGGCCCCCATCAGTTCCGTCTAACGCAACTAGTCATGTGGAGCTTGGTCGCCCACTTTGCTGCATGGAGCTTGGTCGCCCACTACTTCAAAGAGTTTGTTAGGGTTCGAGGAGATTGCATATGGGTCGCGGAGAAAATACTCCTTGCCATCTTGTTGACAGTGCGCTTGCCTTTTGAAGGGGTCTGATGTACATGAGAAGAAAGGTCCCGGATAGCAAGCCAGACAGTAAAGCCCTGTTGCCAGAACACCAGACCATCACTAGCTCTACCTATTTGGAAGGACGCTTTGAAACATGAAAAAGCATGGAAATCTGATTTCCAGTTCTGATGTCCAAAGGTTCTGAGTCTCCTGAGTGATCGATCTCTCAGTTACCGGAGGCACCGCGGGAGGCGACCCCAAGTACGTGGCCGACCCAAGACCGTGGCTCCGAACGGCAGGAGAGGTCGGGACTGGTGGCTGCGAACGGCAGGAGAGATCGATGGCTGAGATCGGCACCTTGCAGTCTGAAGGGTTCTCAAGGATGGGTTCTACAGTAGAAAAAGATCATGCCAATGCAGGCCATATCTATTTAGTTGGGGACTTGTCACATCTTGAATACCAAGCAATGCAAAAGCATGGTGATTGAACCAGGGTTATCTAATATGCCGTCGCCTCCAAAGTGGTGGGTGCCAAACAAGCAGGCTGTCACGTAGTTAGGTCACCGAGACGCTGCGAAGTCTTGCAACTTTAGACATTCACCAAGACCTCTCCACCAAAACCGCGTGCTTTTGCTTCTGGCAGGACTGGCAAGAGAGTGCCAGCAGTTTGCAGCTCTTCGCCTATCCCGAGGATCGTCGCATCCCTTGGGCCTCCCTGTCACTGCTGGTGACCTCAGCTTGTGCCACCTTGGCTGCTGCAGGACTCTGGCAACAGGTGGGCTTCCTCCCTGTGGGTTGACGGTGTGGTTCCTTTATCGGTGGTGCGGCGCTAGCTCCCTAGATCGCTGGCTATGCTGGGCCTTTCCGCGTGTTGATCACTGTGGTTTCATTACAGGGGGCTGATGTAGAATCAACACATCTTGCATCCTTGTAACCATTTGATTCACCAAACTCCCTTGTAAGGATTTTTGTCCTGGCTTGGCATCTCCGCGGGACCCTTTTGCTTGGAATCTGAAAACCTTGTGGCAAACACTTGATCCAGACAAGGGCAAGACTTGGAAATACGAAACTACGCGGTGAAAAAGGTCCCAGATTGATCCAGATTGTGTTTGAGCAGTGACATGTCAACAACGACAGCTCCACAAACCACACCTGCCCAACCTACAGTCACCACAATGACAACTAAATGACAAAACGGACACCGCAACTGCTCACCACTAATACTGCTGCTGCTGCTACTACAACTACTACTACTGTTCACAATGCAACTCCAATCCCCTTCAGCTTTTTTTGCCTGTTATATACCATTTTTCAAGGACTAGCCTTCCAAGGTGCTGGGCTCAAGCTCTATGGAGGAGCTCGAAGAGCGTCTGGAGCGCTTCACAAACACTCTGAAGGCTTGCTCGGCCAAGTGGCCACTGCAGGCAACGAGTGGGGTGTTGGGGGAGGAGATGGTACTAAAACAGGAAGAGAGGGATCGAGATGGGGTGGATTTGCTGGGATGGGAAAACACTAAGAGTGGTGCGTCGCTCATGCAAGTATGTCTGGCAATTTGCTCGTGTCACAGAGTGACAGTCATAGGCCATAGGCTTGTCTCAGAGATTTAGCCATACACGGTTCCAAAGTATATTCCACCTGAGCAGTATATACTCCGTCTCATCTCCGCGAATCATCACTTAGTTGTGGGTCCGGATATCTCAAGACCAAAAACCTCTTTGCCACTGATGCTCCGGAACATCCCAGGAGTCGTCCTTTTTATGAAAGACTCCCTTTGGGTCACCACTGGCACATGTCGTTGGAAAAGGATCATATGGTAGCTCTGGCCAAAAACGAGTTACAAAAAAACACAGAAATCTGCCAGTCTGAACATGGTGTTTCTTCAGATCAACTGTCAGCAGTGTTTTCGTGTTGGTTTCAGATGTCAAGGTCCACGAGCTCCACGGGCTTCTCTTGGCCTCGCTGCTGCGCGCCGGCGAGCTGCCGAACCGTGCGCTGAGTGATTTGGCGCTCCTGCTCTTTGGGGGTACGTTGCGACCCGGACGATTTGGGTGGAAGTCATCTCAAGAGCCAATAAATTCATATAATATATATATATATATATATGACATCCCATATTGTACGTGGATGTATATGCAATCTGCAAGGGTTCCCTGAGATCTTTTGCTGGCTTTTCTTGAAAGTCGTGAAACAGATGGTGGTAGATGTCTCAAATCGATGTGATTCAAAGGATCACCTTACGAAAAGGGACCTCTAGAAAGGGAGTCGGACCTTCCTGAAAGGGAAAGAATCATGACGACCTGCTGGTTTGCATGGCTGTGAACTAGGAGGAATGGACTGCGCTCTGCATGTGGTGCATCCCGTTGGCCACCTCCGTTTGTTTTTTGGGGTCAAACCCGTTCCACCTGGGCCATGAAGAACATTGAAGAACCGTCAGGGCGCATCGTTGAAAACCACGATTCACCCCTTCCTTTCAGGCTTGAACGTCTCTATGGTGCACCCTTCATGTTGCTTTTCTTGGGTGTCAGCACGATGCTGAGCAACGCCACTCGGACCGATGGAAACAGCTCCAGGAGGCTGTTGGACTTGGACCAGAAGTTGTTGGTCATTCGGCCATGTTGTCGGTCGCCACTCGGTCGCGCTGACACTGAGCTCTGACACTGATGGACTGGACATACCCAGATAGGCACCAAACAAGGGTGCCGTTTTGTCCCTTGGGTTTGGTGCCACGCATAAAGAGCCCCTAGTAGCGTCCTTGCTCCTAGTAGCGATGCCAGGAGCCCCTAGTAGCTTCTTGTTCCTAGTAGTAAGATGTAGTAAGGCCATTTTTCCAGTGAATCCACCGTTCCGCCATGAGCGGTGGCTGATACTCCGTTCCAGCCAGCCCAGCTTTCTGAAATACTTCTAAAACAACGTGCAACGGATCTCAACCGCAACCTCAGGGTTGCTCTCAAGAACAGAGAAGCATTGACCATGTTTGACCCCTTATCCCGATTGAATGCTAATTAGCAGCTTGACTTGTTGTCTCATTCGCGGCACGGAGTGCACATTGGACATCACACGTCTTATTTGTGTCTTTCAATTCACTTCATCAATGAAGCACGCTGTGTACATATATGTAGTTTTCTCTATTTAGCTTTTGGCTATAGCTGCCATCAGTTCAAATCGCTGTCCTCCTCCACAGGTTCAGGTTCTCTATATGTATATTAAGTATAATATATTAATATAAACAAAAACATTGGTTTTACCCGTACACAAACATAGGGGTTCCTTTTCACGAGTCATGTCACCCACCCGCTGGAAACCCCAGAACAAGTGTGGAAAGGTCCTTCAACGCTCAAGTTGGAGACCGTGCAATGTAATTCGTTCAGGTGCCACGGTGTCTCCAGGATGCAAAAATATGTTGCTTCCAGAATTCTGGATGAACCAGTTCATCCTGGTTCCTGGCTACCATCACCTTTTGCCTGAACCGCTCGACCCTGTTTGAGGCGATGGCCATGGCCATCCAGCAGCGCTTTGTGGAAGGCGTGGAAGGCGAGGCTTCGAACCCTGGTGGTTTCTGATGAATTCGGTCGCTGAACACCAACACCATGACATACTGCACATCCCACTGATTCCCCATGATTCCCCCGAAAAGGTACCAGTTGTGTCACAAGTTCAGGTACTACAAACATCAAGCAGAAAGCCTTTTGCCTGCTTTTTGCGCCCAACAATGCCCTGCTGATCAAGCACCAGGGCTTCTTAAACACCGGTGGCCGCAGGTTTGAGCTCCACGAGTGGCGGATTAGTGGCCCTGGGCACCTTCTGCGCTTTGCGACATCCACGCTGGGCGATCTGGCCAGGTCCGTTGTGGGTCGGACGTTCGGCTCCAAAAAAAGGCGACGACGCGTGAAGCCGCCGTCGGAAGAAAGGTCGAAGCCGTTGGAACGGTGAGCAAGAGACAGAGAGCTGTTAGACAGGGGTTGACTACTCGCGAGTTGCAAAACATCAAGGTTTGAGATTTGGGGGTACGGCATATGATGGGGGCAAACGTGGGACACATGTACCAAAGCTGAAGCAGCCCGGAAAAGCACAGAGGACATCTCAAACCCACAGCAAGAATTAGTGTTCATCCACCTTACCCGGGTAATCAAGTTGATGCAAATCATCCATTTGGATGCATTTGGAACAATCATGCACTGTATACTGTGAAGGAATAGAAAACTATTCCTTTAACAAGGTGAAGGTCGTGCATAGTCTAAAGCCTGCCAAAAGCTTGACTTCCTGAAATTGAAGACACAGAACACCGTTTTCCCTTGCATGGAGCGTGTCGCCCACAGCACGCCCCGGGCGGGCCAGGTGTTCCGATCCCTGTTTCCTGGCTCATGGCGCCCGTGGTGGTGTGGACACCTAAAATCCCTGTGGTGTGGACACCTAACTGGCAGGTTGCCAGGTTTGCCAGGTTGCTTTGGGCTCAGTGTTGATTGGCAAAGATGATCGAGACGTTTGGTCCCGAGGCCCTGGAGGCCCTGTTTGTCCGGGATTTCGCATGCCGCATGAACTCTCGCTCCTTGAAAGTCAACCTAACAATGCGGCCTTCGCCCTCCTTGAGGTGGCTGACCTCTCTTTGGCCTGGGCATATCGTCAAGAGTTAAAGGCCTTCGAGTTTGGATCTCAGCGGTCTCAGGTTCAGGCCATGTGTGCAGAACCTGGGATGGATCATGAGTTCGGACTGGAAAAGAGGAGCTCGTGCAGGGAAAAATGCACATGTTGAGAGGTGAGGAATGCACAGGCTGAAGAGAGTTTGGAGTTTGATAGAATGAAACAAAGGATTACAAAGCACGATCTTGCATCTTTGTGACGGATTGCGAGGTTTGGCGACGTCTTGGGATAGGTCTTGGGAGGTCGTTTTCGGGCGTTTTCCTCGGCAGACACCTCTGAGGTCAGCACAGGCGGCGGACACCGAGTGTCGTCGACCCGACCAAAAAGCGTCGACTGGTTCCCGCCCGAGCACTGGCCCAATTTGGGTGAAGAAAGAAGACAAGCCACACAAGCAAGCCGCCGCTTGGGGATACAAATTGGGGACACATGCTTTTGACAAAAAGTGTTTGTTGGTTCTAAAGGGCTGGAAAACTCTTTTTCAATGTCCACAGCGACTTGCTTGCAGCCAAACTCCAGCTGGAATTGTGAGTTTGACCACCTGTTATACAAGTGAACTTTTGTGGTCGATGGTGCGTGAGCGGATGAGCGGATGTCTTTTCAGAAACGGTTCTCAGGACATGGCGATTGAAGAGGGTTGCCAATGGTTGCCCTCTTCCATCAACCAGATCCATCACGTTTAAAAGTCGTTCAATTGTCGCCAACGTTCTGCTTAGTCTTAGTCCCTATGCAAAACTGTGAGTGTAGGCAGATTGAGAGTCTTCTTCAAACGACGTTGTTCAATGGTGGGCCATCCTGTGTCAATCGAAGCAGCATAAGAGGAGAGGCGGAGGTTGCATTCTCGAAACACGAACAGCTTCTCCTCTGGCGCATCAATGAGCCGACTTCATGTATCATGACCCCGCCAATGACATGTACGTGGACGACCTTTCAGGAAGAGGTGCAGAGCGTCCTTCAAGGTGAAGGGGCTGGATTTTAAGTACAGTCTGGAAGGTCTCCCGGAGCTGCTACCTCCGCCGATATCTGGAAGGACAAGAGCTTGTGCTGTGGGATGCGGAGACAGGGGACATCCCTCGTCCTTACTGGGATCCTGTTTTGGGTGTCGGACGCAACCGCAATTATATACCGTTCTTTTATGCAAAGGCTCAACCTAATTGGCTTTCTTCACTTCATTCGAAACGAGAAACCACGTGGGAGCGGTTTGTGCACAAAACCGATAGACGCAAGATACGGTTGATCAATGACGCAAGGTCAACCAATGCCATGCTCAGGGACCCCCAGCTCCGTCTGCTGAGGTGGAGAAGATATGGGCTTCTATGTGGGCCGAAGTGATGTGATGTTAAGGACTGCTTTCATCGGCCTCACAGGAACACTCTTGGGTGGGATCAAGCTCAAGGCGAACGATTGGGTGTACCCTATGCCCAGTCCTTGCACACAGGCTTCAGTTGGGGCCTAGATTTCGCGCAGAAGATCAACGAGTATCAGTGCCAATTGACACACAGCTTGCCGGCATCTTTCCCTCATCAGCAACAAAGGAGAATAAAGGGTTTTAGAGCCATAAGGCACTCACTCTGACAATGTTGGCATTGTTTCACCTCACGCGGGTGTGGCGCGGGAAGCGCTCCAGAAGCTCGATGACCATGAGCAGTGAAATCAGCCAAGGCTTGGGACCCTCCTCGATGGGGTATCCATGGAGCTTGCAAAGCAGCGGGTTGCACCAGATGAGTTGGTCTGCAACCTCTGACTACTTAACGGATCGGTCTGGATGGGACTTTCGACCTTGATGATGGAGCACTGTTTGTCGAGGGCGGGTCTTTCACATGATGGCCTTGTCAACTTACAGCCCGCGGTTGGAGCTGCTGTGGCTCAAAGTCTTCAGCCTGGTGAGGCCTGCCACAGGGATCACTGGAAGCTGGAGTGTGCTGATATCGCCGGAGGAACTGGCGACGCGAGCATCCTGTTGGACTCACCTTTCATCTTTTTGTACCGGAAGATTTCGCTGCCATGACACGAAGAATGCATGTTCCTACAGTCGGTACACGGTACACGGGTGTTCATGCGCGCTGGCCATCAGCCCCGACTAGCGGGGCTTCAATGTACAGAAGTTACAGAAGCCGCTACCGAAGCCAGCTGGAGGTTCAGAGGAGAGGACAGTGGAAGACTTCAAAGAGCCTTCATTGCGAGAAGGCCGTGAGATCGCAGTATTTGTTTGGCCACGACGACATTGGCCAGTTTTCCAACTTCATGCGGTAGGAGGACGTGGCGAGCTGTGGTTTGAGGCCTTGGATGACAATCGGCCTGTCGACCATCTCCATGTGGTGCCTGGCATGGCCTGAGGAATGAGTTAGGCCCAGCACATTGGGCGGAAATCACGTTTATCTCAACTGGCGCCCGCGCAATTTCAATATAAGGATGATCTACACTCACTGACAGCTTTCGGGCAGTCGTGCCCTTCAGAGCTTTGCGCTGGTTTCGGAATGATTGGGCGCGGTCACACGCGTCAAATCTGTGAGTGTAGACACAAGAAGGTTTATAGCAGAGAGTCTTTTTGAAATTGCGTTGTTCAGAAGACACGTGGGTGATTTCTTGCTCAAGCGAGGCCCACCATGCAAGTGCGGTCACATGTATCAATCCGGCCACCACTTTATGTCCCAGGCCTCGAGCTGTGACACGAGATCAAACGAGCCCCTGAAAAATGCGTGCTGCTGAGAAATCTTTGTGGTTGAGCGGTAAAAATCTTTAGACTCCTTTAGACTTCACAGCTCACATGTCAATTTTGTTTCTTTACTGAAGTGAAGAATTGGTTGAAAATGTTGCACATATGTTTCTCGGTGAGATGTGCTGGGTAAAAGAGGTGAACTCGTGGCCCGGGATAAACCACTTGGTTCGTTTTCCAGGCAGGTGATGCCCATGCTCGTGATGATCACGCAGGCATGAGCCAAGTCCGGCTAGGCTTTGAGTGGGTTGGGTGAGCCGCTCGGTTCCTGAAGGCCATTTGATAGTATCAGGCTTGAATATGCGGAACCGAGACAGATTGGCACCCAGACTTTCTGGCAGCGTTTGATGTGGAGAATGTTTGTGACAGCCAATTGCCGTTCACGGCTGAACCACCCAGGGAACAAAAATCCTTACCGCCAGACTTGTTTGGGATACGGCCTGATTGAGGCGACGGTGGTTCACATCCCAGCATCGTCCACAGATCAGCAGTTTTTAGTTCAAAAACCTAGAAACCCGTTTGTCATGTGCTTGACCCTCTCTTTCATAGCAGACCGTCTACACCAAAGATTTGATTGGAAGATTGGCTTTGCAAAAGGTTTTTTTATTGAAGAGAGGAAAAGAAGGTGAAAAAGATGTGCATTGGGTTCTTTTAGGAAGTGCCTTTAAAAATTTGGTCCTTACGAAACGATGGCCACACACCATTTTTGCCCTGTCTTAATTGATCCTGTCGTAACAAGTTTGCAAGAAACTGTCCAGGCGCCGAGCGTGCAATGGCTCTAGCTGCATGCATCGCTCTCGAGGTTCGCCAGTGACTGGAGACGGCACTGTGACCGAAAGATGTTGTTGGCAGGTCTAGGTAGTCCTGCGCTTGGTTTCCCCCACCAAATGCAAGCAAGGCAACATTAAACAAAGGAGTGAAAGAGTAGATATGAATGGACCCACCCTGTCGCAGATACGGTGGCTATGAAAGGAAAAATCCCTGACTCCCACGTCAACTGGAAATAGTGTCTCATCATCGGTAAGCCTTCGTGTGGTGTGTGGATGTGTGGATGTCGCTGGTCCTGACTTTTGTTGGGTGAGACCTTTGCCTTTGGCAGGGTTACGTGCGAATGATGCAAGTCACTCAGTACATCTCAGTGTGCGCTTGCTGCGCCAAAGATCTTTCGCGCTCAACATCCGGCGTTGGGCTACTCTCGACTCTCGACCTTTCATTGTCACCCCAAGAAGTCGCCATCGCAGGCACAGGCTCGGGCGGAGTGCCGCCCGGTCTGGGAAGAGCTGCGGGAGCGGCGGGAAGAGTTGGAACTGGCAGCTGAAGAGGACAGCTTCAGATGGGTAAGATTGGTGCTTCGGTTGGTTTAGATCTTATGGCTTTGACTTCAAGCCGACAGATGGCCAGGTGGCGACAAAGAGAATAGGCTAAATTGATCGTCGCCTTTTGGATTCTTCAACGTTGATCCACATGCTTAGCAGCCTTGCTCGACTTACAAAATCATGACATATCATGAGCAGACCGGGAGCAGGTCTGGTGTGGTTGAAAAAAACCGGTCTGAAAAAGGGAAGACCTGGGTTGCCTGAGAATAGCACATCACTTGACTCAATAGATGTCTTGCAATGTGGAGGGACACATTGATGATAGGTTGCCCTGATGGGTTCACTGACTTCCTTGCCGAGTTCATCCGACCAGCGGGGCATGTTGGTGACTCTTTCATCTTGCGACAGCAGTGCAACCGCCAGGAACATACGTGTCCCAAAGGTGTTTCGATGTGGGTTGGAAGATGTTTGATACGACCGGAGGCTTAGGTAAGAAGCCCTTTAAGAGAGATACATATGTCATCATGTGTTCATGTGTCCGTTGATGACCATTTGGCCTGCTTGCCAGGATGTCCTACCACCCGAGGCCTATGGTTTGGAATTGGAGCAAGAGCAGTTTGGAGTGTCCTTGGATGAAACCAGTTCTAAGCCAACCAAATCAAGAAGTTTTATATGTTGCGCCGTGGGCAATTCAATCGCGCAGGCTACACTTTGGGCTGATCTTTCGGGCATCTTAATTGGGACAACAACTGTAATTATGTTATCATTATTGAAATAAAAATGATAAGAATATTCAAATATGATAATACGGAATCAAGAATGTTTAAATTCAAACTTAATAGGAACTAACGCTTATGAATATATAAATCTAAATGATAAAATAAGATTATTATCAATTATGATTATTGATGATTGAATTCATTGAATTTAAAAATTATGGATGAATATGATATTGATTTAGATATATATATATATATTATATAGAATTTATATATTTTGTAAATAGATATAATTGTTTTAATGTTTATATTTGGGAATTGGACGAATATATTAGTTTTAATTAAAATACATTATAGTTAAGTAAAAATATATATATATAATGTATATTAATTTATATTGCAGATGTAAATTATATAGGAAATTAATAAATATATTTAATTGATGATAATTTGAAAAAAATAAATATATAAATTGGTATATGTGAAATATTATATTAATAGAATATAGAATTAAATTCTATATAATTTAAATAATATATTTAAATTATATGGTTTATATATATTATAGATAGATTTTTATTTATATTAAAATATAGAGAAATGTTATTTAATAAAAATATATATATGTGTTTATTCGGAATGTAAATATATTTATTATGATTTATTTTTAATTATTGGATGAAAAGATGTTTTAAATGTATATATATTAAATTTATATTTTAAGATTTATTTAATATTTAATATTATTGAAATTTAGTAATTATCTTTACTATATTAAAAGATAGATTAAATTAGATTTTATTTTTATTTAAATTAAATTAGAATATTAATGAAATGTTGATTTAATTTATGTATTATATTGTTGGGCTTGGATTTTAGAGTGAAAGGATATTTGATGATTAAATATATATTTTTATTTTATTGATATTATTTTATATTAATAATATATATTTGAAAAATTTTATTAATGTGGAATTGGAGATTGTTTTGATTCGAGATTTTATTTTGATATCGTTTAGGCTACCCGCTTGTAGATCGTATATTATTTTAGAATTTTTTATGTTTGTTGGATATATTTTAATAAATATTATATGAAGGATTTAATTGAATCTTTATGTCGCAATGGCAAGGTCTATTCCAAAGGTTATTCGAATTCTTTTCTTTAATATCGAAGAAAGATTTCGATACCGAATTTATTTAAATAATTGGGATTTTTTTTTTTTTTTCCGGTAAAAAGACATATTGAATTAGATATGGCTAAATCGCAATTTTCTGTTATTCTTGCATTCCGGACCAGGATCTATATTATTATCATTTGCCCTCTAGATTAAGTGCTTTTTTTGAAGATCATGGAAGAATTTACTTAGTGTCCCTCGAGGTTGTAGCTGGAAAATAACGACGACTCCTGAATAAACGGCTTCCGGCACAAAATAATCCTTACGGATTAGAATATTTGAAATTATTTATATTGGAATATTTAGAGTTGGTCTTTCAAACCGACCTCATTCCCCGCTTCGCAGCTCTGAAGCCTATGTAGAAGGACGAAATTCCCCCGATAATCACGTAATCATACCATGGCATCTAGACCTTTCTCTTCGCTCCGCTACTAGCCACCAGTTGCACGAAGCGCTACAACTTTGGAACGGGAACGGGATTAATTAATTGATCTCTCCTTCTAATCTTTTGCCTTGACCAATAGTATTGCCCAGAGAGTTCGACGTTAGTTTTGACAATTTTGAATCTTGCTCTGCACAATGGTGGCACTGCTTGCTACGTGAAGCAATATGATCTTGGGACAGATGTGGTCCTGCAGATTTTGATCCTTAATTGTGGGACCAATGGTATATGCCTTTTCTTGATATCCGATATCTTCAGAGGCCCGTTGATCTTTGCAACTTGGAACCATTTTGCAGCTTGCATGAATCCTGATTTAAAGAGCATCGGCGGGGAACCCAGCAGGATGTAGCCGAACATGCTCGTCTGATCTGCTTGACTGTGTAAAGGTTGTCCGTCTATATCACGGCGAAGCCTAAAATATTACATCGTTGCCCAAAAGTGCCAAGTTTCGCCAACTCCTTCAAGCCGACGAGGACATACCTGAGGCCGCGCGACGACCGTAGACGACGCAACTCGGACCAACACGCGGTGTGAACGTATATGCACGAAGGGGGCGTGCTGGCTACGATGTCAGATTTTGGGTAATTCGCAATGGGGTCATCCATCCATTGGATGGCAACGTCGTTTGACTGCTAGCCTAGAAGATAGTAGAATTTTGATCGCACCGTTGATGCTCCGCTGCCAAGGCACAAAAATAACACGTTCTAGACCTTGATTCATTAATGGCATCAACAGAATCCATTCCCAAACACGTGTGATTTCCTCTATTGATTCTCTAGGAAAATGAATTTCCTCGAGACATATATTTATATAATTGTTATGCAATATATATATATATCTATCTGGTGGTTGATTAATCATCCTTTTTATACAAAATATAAATATAGGTCCCATGGGATAAAACCAAATTTTTTTTGATAAAATAGAAAAGAATATCGCAAAATCTTGATTAAATCTTCCCATAGAAGATAAAGTTCTGAAAACATTTTTTGTTGGGTTTCAAATTGTTTTCGTTAAGAATTAACTACAAAATGCAGAATCTTCTGCAGAATACATTCCTGACAATATAATTTTCTTGATAAAGAATACCTCCTCGCAACGTAGTTGTTTTAATAAATCCTAATAGGATGATCTGTTGGCAATATAGTTTTCTTACAAAATATTAATTCAATTTATGGGAAATTTTGATATATATCAAGAAAATTGCACTGCAAATAGAGTTTTTTGTGGACAATTTTGGACCCTGTGGATAAATACCAAAAAGCAAAAACAAAAAATATGTCTTCAGAGGTTTGTCCTCTGGGGGGCTTAGTCAAAATATGTTTTTTGTGTGCGTTGTTGTTATTCTTGTATTTTTATGATATTTGTTATCATTTCTATGGAAATTAAAAATTGTAGTTATCTTTGAATATTAAAATATGTATTTAGAGATATTTCTTTTATTTTGATGGATAAATTGAAAATATTTTTAAAAAATTCTTATTGATATATTTGGAATAATGAAGATGAGATCGCGAGGATGAAAAGGAGACGGGTATAAGAAATAAATGAAAAGCAGATTAAAGAAATACGGTAATTTTGTAATAGCTCGAAATTGAGGATATTAAAATATCGTTTTAGTTCTTGGTTGTCCGGGGAAGATGAAATTTTAAAAATAATGGAGGTAAATGAATCGAATATTTTTGGATAAAATATTAATGCATTTGACCAATCGATAGGAGAAAGATATTTATGATTTAATTTTGTTTAGAAGGTATTAATTTATTCGATTTAGATCATCATGGCAAAATGTTTCTCGCCAATTTGCAATATTGATTGCGACCTTAATTTATCTGTTGAATATTTCTATGGAAGATTATCGATTTATGTAGAGGTTGTAATCGATGGATGCATCGTTGACATAGTAAATACCTGGAGTTTATTCCCCTATGTGTAGCGGCGATGACGATAGAGGGCGAATGAGAATTGGCCACAAAAGCAGGATTGGGAAGCCTAAAATTGAAAAAGATTGGGTTAAAGATAAAGAAGGCTTCCAAATTGGAAGTCGGCAGCGGATCAGGCCTAGGTCCAAATAGATCCATGAATCGAAATCGGAATCTAGGATTATTGATGATAGAATAGAAGGCAGTGTTCGAGCAATGGAATCAGCAAGAGCAACCTTCCCCTCGAAGAGGCCAATTGAAAGAGAAAAAAATTAATACGAGAAGGAAGAAGAATAAAATAAATTGATCGAAATTCCAAACAATAAGGCATAGGAGGCGGTGAAGCCGAAGACCGAAAGGAAGGAGGAAGAAAGAAGGATATTTAATATCTAGGAAGACAGAAGAAAGGAAAAGGGAAGACTAAGGATAGCCGTTTTGGAGGAGCGCGAGGAATCGGTCGATAGGCTCGACGGGGAAAGATAAGAAAGGAAAGGGAAAATAATTTTTGATTAGAATGATAGAAATTTAGGATTGAATGAAAATAGTGATCATAAATTGAATTTCTTGAATTAGAAATATTTAGGTTGTTATAGCGCAGTGCAATTGATATTGAATATTCTAATTTAGATATTTGAGAGCAATGATATGATATTTATTATGGTCTATATAGCGGAAGGGGCTAAAGGAATGTCGACGATTTAAATATATCTTCCATCATGTTATTTGAATGCAGATATTGGAAAAATATTTCCATAATAGAAAATATTCACGAAATCGTTGGTGAATGGTACGAACGGATAAATAAATTAAATAAAAGATTGAAATTCTTATAATATGAAGGAGAATATTGGATTTCACCACGGATTCATAAAAAGATTATTTCTGGGCATATAAAGCGGAACAATTTTGACGTTTCAATCTCCAAAAGATTGAAATTAAGTATATAAAATCCATATAATTCATTGCCAATAGAAATATCATATATTCATATGATCAGACCAATTTCTTTCATCTATCGATATATTTGTATATATATATACGACCATTTTCTATTATCTTTCTTTTATCTTATCAGTGATCATTTCTAAAATATTGAAAATCCTTTCGATCAAGAAAGAATTGAACAATTAATGTCAACATTTTGTCAATATTTTAGAAGATCTCCATAACTAATTCAAATATAGATTCAAGTGTTTAGTAATACAAAAACACAGAAATTAAAAATATCAAATAAAATCCTTGAAGAACAATATATCGCAAAATATCAAAATATTTATTATGGTTTTCAAAAAAGAATTGATATTCGGACACCATCAATTTTAAAAATATATGCCAAAATAAAAATCAAATAGTTAGGTTTTTTTAAGACAGATAAATAAATCCTTGTTTGTTGGCGCGATCAAAATTATCAAGCAATATATACAATATATATTGTTCAATATAGAGAATAAATATATATAGATTAAATTGTAATATCATCAGTTTAAAAAAATAATATCCATTAAATATCAATATTATATTTATTTTTATATATTATTTAAATATATATATAATGAATAGATAAGCAATAGATTCAAAATCAATATATAATCATATATATATATCAATGCAAATTCATTGTATCGTTATTTAAAAAATAGTTATTTAAATAATTAATTATTGAATAAATAAAAAGGAAAAATATATATATAATATATATATGTATATATTTAATGTATAATTGAATAGTTTCTTTAAAAATATGTCTAAATTTTGATAATAATTGAAAGTAAAAATATTTGTATTTATTGATATATTGATATTGTCTTCCCCCTTTTTATGTGATTCTTCTTCTAGAACAATCATAAATATATTTTTTTCATTTCCAATGGGGGATAATCTCCGCCCGTTTTGAGCAATTGCCATCAAACAACAGGATATGTCGAGAATATTACAGCCAAATCAAGCGATCAAATCTGAATTAGAAAGATCTAATCAAATTTTACGATAGAAAATCATTTAGATCTCTTTAAGGAATCATCAATAGAAATTATCCCATCAATCCAATTTCATCGACCGGGATCAGCCAAACCAGATACGTACAGTATCTGCATGGACCTCATGGCCTAAATATATTTTCCAGGGAAACCTCTTGCAGACTAATTTTATTGGTATAATATAAAATATTATATATGAAAAATTATTGAAAAGATAGAGTTTCTATCAATTCTTGCAACGAATTCAATTTCTATTGTCGGCGTCGATTTAGAATCCTATCGGTACGAAGGCAAAATCCTAATCTTCAAATATATAATTAAATGAATTATATATCGAAATCAACCGCCAAATTCAAATATCTTTAATTAATTCCCCTAATATATAGATATTGATCAAAATAAAGGTATCTGAGGCAGCTACAATCGCCGATCAACCGCGAATCAATCGCGATCCCAACGGTATCAATCGCGGGAGAGTGCTCTTATATGCAATACTATTGTATGCAGAGAATCGTCAAAATATTCCTACTACAATATTTAGAGATATGGCGTGAGCCAGGGCCTACTCAGGCGGGTTTAATAATCGCGGCACAATCACGTATCAATCGCGGATTTCGTCGATATTTTTTTGTTGTTCTGATTCTTCTTTGCTATTGGCTATCACTATTGAACACAGTGTCTAGGCAGACCCAAATAAAGTGTAAGGTTGAATTGTAACATGATTATCATACCATATAATATTGATTTCTCCTCTTATAATGGTCGATTCTAATCAACCGCGATGCAGGGTTTTACAACCGCAGATGTTGAGATACACATAACCTTTCATAATTCTTAGATGTGCATTTTCGATCGGCTCCCATATAAAAATCCTATCAATGTAAAAATATTCATGTCGTCTTCCAATAATTGCTTCAGATTGCTCGTGTTGGGTCGCAGAGTAGGACTCCGGGGGCATCGTATGTTTCTAGGCACCAAAGTTCGAATCGAAGCCATAGCCAAAAATGCATCAAGCGAATCTATCACCTAAAAGGTTGTTGAAGGATTTCATGGGTATTAGCAGTGGTCGACACCAAATAGGATTCGTCAATCGTTTGGGAACAAACCAAATCACGTAAATACTCCGGGCCACCTCAGGATCATGGCCAGGCCAGGCGACATAGAGGAGCGAAAATCATCGCATTCCAGGATCGTGCCACTGCACCAAAGGAATAATGACCTTGAATGGGTGCCTGGCCTTTGTGGACCACGTCAGGAATGACCACGTAATCGTGCCATTCCACAGCAAAATCCAATGGGTCGG